GTCTTTAGCCCTATGAATTGAAATTGTTATCAGTGTATCTAACCTAGTTTACAAAAAACATTTGTAGGCTTACATGTCACGATAGAATTAGAAAGTATACATACTTCAGGATGCATCAGTGGTCAGGAAGGAATTATCTCCCTTTCTGAAACATTAAAAAGGGCTAATTAAATTACAGCATAAGACATATTCCTAAATTGAATCCTAATTGAATTATGTGAAAAAGCTCTTGAACTTTTGACTCACTGAGTGACTAATAGACCTGCTTTGTACATTATAGTAGAAAGTCATGTGACTATAATTAGGATTTGGAGTTACTAACTCTGGCATGTGTGTGCAGTATGTATGAATAGAGTCAATGCATCAACATTTCACACATTAAGTCTTCAGAACTCAAAACAGTATTTTTGACAAAATTTAGAACTACAGCGGTGAGATTATATTAGCTCAGGACAAATCTATGAACAAGGAACATTTGCAATCAGCTGGTCCAACCTAGCTTTCTGTCTGTGGTTATGGCTCAAAGAAAATGAAGCAATTCATAAGGTACCTAGCCACTTTCTAAATGCTCAGTATACAAGGACATACTTTCCTGATCCTTGTAGCAGTCAGCTTGTACCTTTAAGCTTGACTTTGGATTACTTTCATCCTTTCATGAATAACAACAAATGGTTTTCTTGCTCATAAAATTATCTCCTCATAAAAAAAAAAATTTGCTATGCAATTGGACGTTACAAACCCCTGTGAAGGAAGTCCCTCTGCAGAGTCTAAGGGCAAAAGAATAAACTGGATTGGACTGTGAATGAGATATTCTTAAATTGCAGCAGGCTTAAAAAAAGGAGCACAAGCAATTAATTTGAAAGTAAAATGCCCTGTACAATAATGGAAAGAGAATGCTAAATTGAGCAGAATAGAAAAAGGATAATAGAACATTGTAAATAAAGAGTAAACCCGGCTGAGTTCAAGGCGGCTACAAGAAAAACAGAGGCACAGGAATGGGCACAAGGGAGAAACTGGTGTAATTTGAAAAGTTGAAAAATCCAGAGCATCTGAATTCTATACGAGTAGAGGAGCTATACTTATGGAACTAGAATAGAAGAGCAGATTCTATCAGTTGATAGGAGAAGAGTAGACCAAAAAAAAAAAAGTTGAAAGAAAACTTGGTTTTCAAAAATCAGAAGAGATTAGTCAGGGAAAAAATAAAAACAATAATCATCTTTGTAGGGGTTTTCCAGTATCAAAATTCAAGAAAGAAAGCTCTATATTGAAAATTCTAGCGGAGCACATTGATTAGCGTATTTGTGAAATCAGGTTTCTTTAGAATGTGGCTGTACTAACTTTATCAGGCTACTTAATTAATAAAAAGAGAGGCTCTCCAGCACTGCTAGAGTCCAAAAGTTACACAGTTAAATATCTTGGTTCTTTCCTACTATGTGGCAAATGTCTTGCATGTGTGTGTGCACGTGTGATCCCAGGTCATTACATTAATGATATATTGCCAGATACATTTTTTCACTTGTGTTCCTATGAAGCTTTAGGGCCACATCCAGATTGCATGGATGTCACACCTTGTGCTGCTGCTAGTTGTCCCTGGGGAAATCCTGTGCCACATATCCTCTGGCACGTGGCAAGTTACCCCAGGTAGGGTAAGGGAAGCTGGGGCCAACAATGGGCTGGCCCCAGCAGCCTTACCCAAGGTCCTGGAGGCTGCCCAGGGTTGCAGCTGCAATGTTTCTGCCATGTGGAGCTGGAATGTGGCTCTGGCTGGCCAGGCTCCAGCTTTAGGTGGCGCACGCTGCCCCCACATGCACCACTCCGCTTCTCCTCTTCCCCCCCGCCCGGATTTCCAGGCGTCAAAAAAACCCTCCATAGTGCTCCCTTGCTGCGTGGAGAACACCTGAACATGTGGTAAGTGTCTGAGGTGCCACATACCACCCAGCCACGCTCATCTGGACACAGCCTAGGAGTCTAAAGAGCATAGCACAAAAAAGTAGAAACTTTTTTAAAAGGGTTGTCTTAAAGACATCCCATATGGCTCATTTTTGCTCCTTACTTTCCTGGAAGTCCTTTTGAGAAGTCACACAGTCTGCATATGAATAAATTATAGCATATAAATTATAGATCAGCTCAGGTCTGAAAACTCACTATTATAGGGAAATTATGAATAACTTAATGCCAGGTAAATAACCCGACCTGTCAACATTACAGGACTCCAGACATTTGGGTCAGACTGAAAAAGCTGCTATATGTTTCCTATATCTGTCTACTGAGGTTTATATATAGATCCATTAAAGTTTATATCGGTTCTCTCTGCTGGCTGATTTAGTAAAATGGTTCTCTGAGCTCACCAGATAGAAAGACTAAGTGAGAGTCAAAGGTTATTAAATTCCCCTACCTTCTTCCTACTAATCCTAATCTCATCCAATGTAATAGATGCTTTCTATACTGTCGATTGATCACTAGAATGTGATATTCAAATAGTGAAAAACTTGCTGCCAGAGCTTAGATCAAACGTTTGATCATCGGCATCTAGCAAGAATTACATAGCAGCAAGAATCCCACCTAGAAACCTAAGTGACTGAGATAAAAACAGAGCTGTGAGAAAGAGAGAAATGCTTGTTAATTATGCCAGGGACATTTTCTAATGGATTCTTGCTCCCAAGCTAGCCAGAGTAAATCAACTGGCATGTGGCATGTACTACAGATGGATCAGCAGTGGTAAACATATACAGCTGCAGATATCTGTTACACAGGTGCTTGGTTTTGCAACTGCAAGTGAGCCAAAAGTAGACAGACTTTTTGGCAAATGCCCACGGTTGCACTGAGATGGAAAGAAAAAGACAGGGTGAAAGTAGTCAGCTGGCACTGCCTCCTCTGCAATAGGCTCCACACTTAAAAGCCAAAGCTGCTGCTCTCATATCTCACCCATATTCTGAATCACTGTCAAATTCCTAACCTTTTTTCTTCAGCTTAGTGGGGGAATGTTTTGGCTGGAATAAGCAGAGCAGAACTAGCACAATGCTTAGTGCATCCACATATACTGTTTTCTATGGGCCCTGTAACTCTTGTTAACACTGGAGCAAGTCTTGGTCTTTTATCTGTTATTTTATTGGAGGGGAAGGGAAAGCCAGGGGGCTTTCTACTGTTTTCAGCCTGGCATTTGATACTGACACCACATGCTGTTCTTTAATAAAGTTGGACATACTGCAGGCATAACAGAAGTATTATGCTGTTTATTCTGTCCCTATAAATCGGCTATTGCTGATGTTATGGAACTCATGTGGAGCCAGGGTGTGTGTATGAACCATAACAATGACTGAGATGAAGGCAATTTTCTTATTATACACACATGCCTGGGTATACATTTTTAATATTACATTTTCAGACAGTGGGCTGGAGAGCCTTGATGCTATGATATGTAATAGAGCCCCTACCACAATTTTGATAAGCTGAAAATTACATTATGAAATATGAAAATATATATCCTTCTACCAGTATACCCTATACAACAGGAATAGTAAAGAGGTCTAATAGTACAGAAATCAAATTGAACCTGTATATTGGTCTTGTAAGGGCTATTTTCTGACAACTGCATCAATATCTCTGTAATTTCAGATTTCACTTTTCTCCATCCCATACCCTGCCAGCTCCCCTCTCCAAAAAAACCAAAGGATTTTTTCCCATAATTTTACATAGATGTCTCCAAATGAGAACTTATACAAGGGTGCTTTACTGAGTTGGCTGACAGACAGAAACAATGAATTGATCCTGCCTGTTTGTCTGTTCATCTATTTGTTTATATAGTAAATTATCACTATAGTAAATTGGCTTGTAGCAAGCAGAGCCGGCTGAAAAACAGGAAGTTTGCTGTTTCCAAAGTTAGTTTTGCTCTTAATCAGAGCAAAAAGAGCAGCTTCAGGGGTCCCAGAATTACTGGCTATAAGGCAGAGGTGTCATTGATGCAAGCCGTGGCATCCCACTGTAGTGTCTACGTCTGGAGAATGGGATGCCTTGGCTACTATTGTGGTTCTCAGAGCTTTCACATCTGGAGCTGGAAGCCAAACTCTGCACAAAGACAGTGCTCTAAGGGCTGTCAGTCCCCAGTTCCTGGAGATGTGGCGTTTAGGAATCCTAGGTCTTTGCCAGGAAGATCTGTCCCAACACTGTGCTCTGGAGCCCCATCAGGACAATCAGTGCCAGAGCCAGTAACCCTGGAAGACCAGGCTCCTGGACTCTGGGAGAATCCACAGGGCTCTATGGGAGCACTGCCTTAGATGCAGTGGAAGTCTGACCAGTCCAAGATGTTCTGAACAAGATATTCCAGGTTCAACAAACTGGCACCATCTCCTGAAACAAATTTTCATTTGAGGGCTCCAGCTCTGTTAGGAACTCTAACATGATGCTACATGAGTGTTTCTGAGCTAGGTGTCAAATGTTACCACTGGAATCAGTATAACTCATAAACCTACTGACAACTATTTAAATGCTAGCACTCTTACTGGAAGTGCATATCATTATAATAGAAACTTCCAGCTACTCTATGATTGCATGAGGATTTGGGATTCTGGCACAGAGCACGAGTACAGTATTAACTCATGAGCAGAGTATACACATATTCTGTAACAGATATTTTCACTTTTAACCTCTGGATGCTTGCTCCTTTTGAGGTAAAAGAAGTGTCATTAAACATATCCCTCCAATTGACATTTATTGTCTTATATAACTAAACTACTCTCATGCAATTTGCATATGATTTTATTTAATCTCTAATCATAAACCAGCAACAATGAGTGACTCATTTTTTTTTTTCTGTTCCCATCATTAGTCATGTAAGACAGGTTTTATTGTATTTGCATAAGCATTGCATAGAGACATATGACCAAATGAAATCAGCACAGCATGTCAATGATGCTGTTGTGGTACTCAGAGAAATCCTTTTTCTGTGTGAGAAAAATGAAAGGCCCACAATATTTTCAATCCAAAAAAGCCAACACTTCAAATGAGTGGGTTTATATTTTATTTTATTCTGTTTTTCTTCCCTCTCCCTGCCCACAACCATACTTTCAGGTTGCGTATTACAGTGATTAACTACAAACTGTAGAAAGAGAATCATTCTTTACATATGCCTTAACCAGTCCTGATTTAAGAAACACAGAGGAAAACAAATCTCTCTTAAACTCCCTAAAAATGCAAAGTTACCTGTATATTTAGCTATCCCTGATTTTTTGTGTTTCTTGTTTCTCTCAAAAATGAACTGAAATGGCAAGAAGGATAAAAACAACATGAGAGAGCAATATTCAAAAGTGCTTAGAGTTGCACTGCTCCTACTAAAGTTCACTGTTGGCAGAGTTGGTTAATACTAAGCACTTTTGAAATTACACCTATTAAGTGAATAGAAAAAATAACCCACAAAATCAAGAAAATCAGCTGGACGATGCACAATGGCTCAGCCTTATATCAAGCTCCCCAAAGGTCTGATTAGCAATCTGTCAGTCGTATGCAGAGAACACATGGTAAATAAACGGCACTCTGTAGATTGTCAAAATTTCCCATGCTATTAATATCATCAATAAAATATTAACTTGGATAAGTGCATGGTTTCTGATAAGGACATTCAATATGTAGAGTTTAGGGGCACCCCAGACAATAACTCAACCTTCCCAAATGGTTGACTGGTTCTCGGTTGTATTCTAGGAAGCTAATCTTTATAGAAATTGTGATAATTCTGGAATTGACTTCCAGCAGGGTCTATAGGAAACAATTACATTCTCTCAGCTATAACTGGAAGGATGAAATCTTTTAGCAGTTAAAGTGCTTACTGCAAAGAAAATCATCAGTCCTTTTGTCCAGAGGTTTCATGTTGCCAAGTGACTATCAGAAATTTGCCTGTTCATCCTTTCCAAACTCTTCAGTCTACCAAGTTGGACATGGAATTCCTCCCAAACCTGTGAACACAGGAGAATGCTGCTACTAATTCCTTCCAACTGGACCAACTAGAAGAAAACTTCTTAAAGTACTTTCCTTCCAGCCAAACATCAGGAACTGCAGAAGTAAGAAACAGCAACCCAAGCTTTTCTTTTGACACTGCCAAAATATTAAGTTAAAGTTTACAGAAAAGGGGAAGATTTTTATTTGAGAAAATGTGGGCCCTTTCTTACAGACCAAAGCAGCCCAATTTTGTGACTAGTGAGGAGATTTAGCTCCTAATGGCATCATTGATTACTACTGAATAATCATATTGCCATAGAAAGATAGGGCCGGAAGGGGCCTCAGGGCAGGGTTATCCCTGTATGCAAGTGTTTATCTAACCTGCACTTTAAAACGGAGAGTCTACAACATTTCTTGGCAAACTCTTCATGTGCTCGGCATTATAAAACTGACCAAGCTGAAGGATAGAGTCTGTTTCAGTGACTGTAATCTTTCTACCTAATCAAGAAAACTAGGGCTATATGTCTGATGTCCAACAAGCTAACAAGCTGGCATTTTGTTGAGTCAAGTCTTTACGGCTGCAGAGGGTTCCTCACATAACGAATCTGGGCTGTTTCCACTATGCTGGCCAGGACAGGATTATTGAGGAGGCATGCCCAGTGATTATGTGTCCACCCTATTCAGAACCTTGCTGCACCAGGGGTCTTGCATAGGGTAATATTGGAAGCACCGGGGAGCAGATCCATACAAGGGGTGGCACTAGTTTTGAACCTATTACTTTCAGCATCATTGACCTCCTGAGAATGATGTGACAGGCAGCAAAGAGGCTACACTGACTGGTTTGCATGGATGCTCTGTAGTGCAGGGGAGAGAATGGCATTATTTTTTAGCCCTTTGGGAATACTAGGTATGTCTACTTGAGCTGTGTGCTGATTTTCTGGGACTGGGCCTTGCAAGAGCAATGCTTTAGGTATTAACTTTCCTAAGTCCCTTTTGCTTTAGCGAGCAAATAACATTTGCTGTGTTCAGTGAAGTTATTTTTTCTTTACGCTTATGTTAACTAAATTATACGTGGAGCAAGATTTTAAATGCTGTGGCATTGCAGTTAAGGTCTAAACCAATTGTGCTTTGCATGGCAATATTAAAATACTGATATTTCTAAACAAATGTCATCCTCCTGTGACAGATTACATTGTTTCTTTGAAGTGAGACTTTAAACAGCTAGTGTTTATGATAATATGTACATCATTAATCTTCAGGCGTTAATCTCTATAGTCTTGTTTAACACACTCTGAAGCTTCAAAGGGTAGGAATGCCTTATACTGTTTATTGAGATATGAGTTAAAATATAAATGAACGATCTGGGGAATCAATATTATATCCATGACATTTTGTTTAAACTGTACAACAAACTTTATTGCAAGACATGTTAGATAGCTACCTGTAAGTTTGACTTGATCAAGGGTAATATGGACATTCTGGAAAGGGTAAACCTATTAATTAGAGACCTCCACAGCTTTCTTTCTTGCTAGTGTAATCATTAAATTGATTTTTCCAGTCCATCATGTAATTGTTCCAGCGATGGAATCCTGCTTTCCACTCTTGTTCTGCTTCATCAATATTTCCTGTAAAATACAAAATGGGCTGTTTTAATCTACATTTGAATCTCTTCATACATTAATTGAAAAGTAAATTTGATTATCAGTGGGTGTGTCTACACAAGCAAATGCTGCAGGGTGGGTTTACTCTAGAGTAATTTATTCTAGAATAAACCCACCTGGGGCAGGTGCCTACAAGTGCAGGGGTGAGAGAGCAGATCTGCTGCTCCTGGCAGCAGCCTGCTCCCGCCTCCTCCAGCAGCCAGGCAGAGCTCTAGGCTCCCTCTGGGTGTAGCCCAGGGGCTAGCAGGGAGCATGGGGACAAGAGACAGATGTGCCCAGCAGTGCAGGGCCAGAAGACAGATTGCTTCCTGCCCCTGAGGGGTTGGCTGCTTGATGGGGTGAGCTCTACCACCAGAGCCCAGATAGGGACAATGTCCCTCTGACCCAGCAGCAGGCAGCTCCTGGTCCTAGCTCCCCAGTTGGGGGCAAGAGACTTGGGAAGAGCTGCAAGGGAGGGGCAGGTCCCAGCCCCCAGCCTCAATCCACCAGTGGTAAAGCTAATCCCTGCCCAGCCAGGGACTCACGACTAGCTGCCCACTGGTGGATCAGGGCAAGGGGCTGGGATCTGCTCCTCCCTGAAGAACTTTCCAAGCCCCATGCCTTGATTGCCCGATTGGGACACGGGGCTGGGACTTGCTGCTAAGTGAGATGGTTCCCAGCCCCCACTCTGCAGTCATGGAACAGGGCTCTGAACAGGCTCTCCAGGTTGTTCCCCAGGCTGTTGCCTGCCCAGCTCCTCAATTATGGAGTTTGATGGTGAACATGCTCCCAAGCCTGTTCCCCACCCAGCTCCATGATTGCAATCATGGAGCTGTGGCTGGGAAAAGTCTCCACAGCCCCTGCTCTCTAATCGAGATTGGGGATTGGGGGCTGGGGGCTGGGAGCTTCCTGCTGCCAGGGCATTGTCCCTGCCTGGGCTTTGGTGCCTGGGACCTAGGCAGATCCCAGGGGCAGGGAGCAATCTCCAGCTGACCGGCATCAAGTTTGCTCCCAGTTGGCCATCTACACATGCCATATGATACATTAAGTAATCACAAGCTGTATGATACAGTAAGTAATCATGATGACAGTAAATTACTGCATAGTAAGCATCTGCACATATAGACAGTGATGCTTACTGTGCAGTAATTTGATCTAATCTTGAGCAAAGAGTCTTGTGTAGATGTACTCATTGTCATTTTCTTTGAAGACACTGCACAATAATCTTCCCTTTCTGCTTTGAGCTCCTCCTAAACTATTAGTAATTCTGTGGTATAGTAACATTTTATTTTGGGAACAGGAAATGCTTAATGCCAAATAATTGTCCTTCAAAGCATCTCAGAGATGAAATATTTATCAAGATGGATTTGATGCTTTTACAATAGAGTTAAATATACACTCATTTATATATATTTTTAATCTCGTACTTTAAAAACAACCTCTATTTTTTCAAAATATAATTATCCAATCTACAGCCCAGAAGTTGCAATGGGAGCAGTGAACTGCTGTGTTGCTGCTATATGAACACTTATTGAAGTATGGGTTGAAATCACACATCAAGCCAGCTGTACAACTCCCATATATTTAAATAGCACTAGATTTCAACCATGGTCCTGGTCATTCGGGTTGGGCACTTCCTTGTGCACTCTTTGGTAGGCACGTTGGTGTACTTTTACTTCACCAGCCCAATGGAACATGTGGGCACAAGCAAACCTATGAGCTTATTTTGGTTCTACTGGGAATCACAATAGAGATAGTGGCCGAAAAGAGACCATTTTATGGTGGGTGTCATCTTGAACAATCCCTAAGTGTTCTGCAGGCTGTATAGGCATACAGGTTCCCTTCACACAGTGTTAAAGTGTAGGGAGGAGCACAGCAACAATTTAACCGCAGCCTGCAGGGGGTGTCACAGTCACGCCTAGGACCCCAATGTGTTACAACATATTTTAAACTCTGGTAAGGGATCAGAGTTCTAAGGACCCAGACTTATAACCTTAATTTTATTATATTTATTTGAAATCCAAAACATCCTTTCTGGGTTTTCCTATTCACAAAGCCTCCAGAAATGTGTGGGGACCATGCCCAGATAGAGGATATTCTGTGATATAACTGTGAGCATTGCAAATGAATCTAGTTATGTGAAAGCAAAATGTATCCATCTTTGTTACACACCTCTATAGAAAGAGTGAGTCTGGAAACAGGGTTAACTGGTTCCAAAATTTCATTTGGAGAAGCGTCCAAAAATGTGGATCTTTATCTGAAGTTCAGTTGAAATCTATTTTTCAAATCTATTGGGTCTGGAAATCAGTTGGACAATTTAATGAGAAGAGACATCTAAGTGAGATTTTCATTACTTCTTGATTTCAGTGAGATCAAAAATACTTCCAGGATGCTTAGCTTGGGTTAGTTCAGTATTTCTGTCTCTACTTCAGAGCAAAACCAAAAAAAAAAAAAAAAATCAAAAGATAAGCATAGAATTAAAAAAAAAATGCAAACAAACTTTCTCTTCTTTCCTTGCCCTTTCCCTAAGCTCCATAAAAGGTAAAACTTGGTTACATGTTTGTGTGGAGAGAAGTTCAGATGACTTCCTTATTTTCTCTTAGCCTGTTTTATCATTTACCAAAAAGAACAAAGCTTGTGTTTTTGCAAATGCTGACAACATTTAAAGACACTAAATTATCTAAATATGATTCACAAGACTCATAGGGAATGAATGGACACAATATTAAAGAGTTTGTTTTACAGTTATTTTTCTGATCATATGTACTTCTCTTTGCATATTTCTTAATTTAAACAAGAAATGAGTCCCTCAGACTAAGCCTACATATTTGCACCCATGTCAAATGGATAGGTAATTTAGCATCTGGACGTTACTAGTACTATTAAAACAAACAAGCAAACAGCACCTAGATCTTACTGCTTTTCACAGATTTGATTGTGGATAGGCAGTCTCATTTATACATGCAGTGCAACTCACTTATTGATTGAAACAACTGTTTCATTTCTTCCTGAATAATTCAAGTTAGAATGTTCTGAAGTCTTAATATTTGGAACATATTCCTGGTCAAATACCTTAGAAACTTGAATTGAGCCCCTATCCACACATATCGAATGAGACCTCATTGATCTATATGATACAGTGTGAGACATGCGAGTGCTAGCATACAAACATAAAAAAGAAGCGAAAGCGAAATGAGAAATTTAAACCGGCTACCCTCATGAATCCAAAAGAGAAAGGGGAAAGGTAAATACTGAAAAAAGAACTTGGATTCCCATTTATTTGCTTTCTTTTCAGTAATAAATTCCAAATTGAAGTCACAAGTCAGTGCATCCCATTATCACCCGTATCATCAATCTCTTTGAAGCAACCACCTGTGACTTAGAAGAACTGACAGCTAGAAGGCAACAACAATTAGAGAATTCAACTTGACCAATAATTACAATTGGAGCCCTGGATTACTGCAATCCACTACAATGCTAAAAATGGTTAGTCAATACAATAGTTAATATATTCCGATATATGCAATAGTATATATGCAGTCTATATGGCTCAATCATCTCCTATTTGCAAATACAGCAAGATGATATAGTTTATTATCTAATAAGACATGTATAATATGCCAATAAATAATTTCAATAATAAATAAATAATACTTGGTCCAATCCAGAGCCCATTAAAGTTCATGGAGGTATTTGATTTAAGTCAGTTGTGGATACATCTCTTAGTGTTCAGGAAAGGGACCAGTTTGACAAAACAAGAAAATGAAGTGTTCTGCATATCCAGAGAATGGTATTAGCACAGGCAGTTGGCAGCACACCCCTTCCCACGTTGCCTCGGTAATGTCAAACAATTCTAATTTTAGTGACATTACACCGGAGAAAAACTTGTCTATGTGTCCCCATTTGCCCTTTTGTTAAATTTTCCAAGAGGATGCCCACTGTGAATGTGTTTTTCTAGTATGGGCATTTAGGACCTGGATAAAAGCCACAACGTGTTACAATACTGTATAATTTCTCAGGAAACATTAGATGAGAGTAACATTCCAACTTTCTTAGCTGTTCTTAGGTACTGTACCTCAAAGTATCTTCCTGAATCATAACTATAACAAGTAATAAAGATGATAGCCTGATCCTGCACTGAGACATGTCAGGGCAAAGAGATTTAAAACAGCTGTTCTTGGTACAGAACTATAACCTACATGTTAAGCTCTCCTCTCAGAGTCCTTTCATCCAGTTTCTAGGTATCTGCACAATATTGTAGTGGGTTTCACTTCCATTACTAGCTGGACTGCAGGAAATGAAGCTAGAAAGAAAAACTACACAGCTAGGGCCTTGCCTGCTGCCTTATGGTATTGTTACATGTTACCCGTGGCACATGCTAGCTGCATTTACACACTAGTATCAGAGCATTCAAGCAGTAAAGCATGTGTTAAGTGTCATCACAGTGTAGTAAAGTTAGACCTTTTCCAGAGTATTTGCGTATTGTATTACCTAACACATGGTGAGCTAACATCAAACTGCTCCATAAAGGTAATAAAATCAGAGAACTGCAGTGCGGTGGGGGGGGGG